TCCCTGGCATTTTCCTGGTGAATGTGGGATAATACAAGGTTTCTTACTCCTCAGTCTGGAAGGATAAGTACCTCACACTGACAGGAGCTGAGGTGAGAGTGCCCACGTGCTCAGTTGGCTCCATGAGGATGGCATTGCCAGCCTGTCACCCTGGTGTCACTTCTCCAAGCCGTGACACGGATCCCTGGTGCAATCAGTGGGGTGCAAACACTGCCCAGTGTTTCTTCCCAGAGTGGGGGGGAGAGGGACAGCGGAGATACACTGGGTGACTGAGCAGGCATGAGGGTCTCAGATTTTGCTGATTGTAAAAGGCAGCAGCAATTTCTACCCCTCTGAACTCAGCACTGGAGGGAATTGGGACTCTGATAGACGTCTGAGCAATACAGTGTGTTCAAGACCAGGACTCTGATTGCCTGCTGCCCTTGCTTAATATCACATCTGGTGACACTGCCCAGCCCACTCGCAGCCTAAGCTCTGCAGGGTTAGGACGTGGTAATAAAGTTGCCTGGTTTTACCACACAAAGATTTAGTTACTGATAAGTTGCAGAAAGTCCATTACCTAAAGAAATGTGGGCTGTAATAAACCTGTGCAAGCACTAGAAAATCCAATGTGCTTTCTTTTAACACAATTATAAACTGTCATGATGTTCAAACAGAACGATTTTACACAGCTCTAAACTCTCACAGTGTGTGTAAATCAAAGGTAGAGAGAGGAGTCCTCGCAGAGTGCCTGGAAAGAACAGCTTCCCCTGGGGCTTCCAGCTCCTCCAAAACCTCCACTGTTGCACCCTGCATTGCTGGTACTGGTGGGGCTGTGTGCTTCTGACCAGAAAGGTAGTCACCTTCAGATCCGGTACTTAGAGAGGTTGGAAATGTTTTCAGTCAAAGCTATTTAATAGATACATTTTTCACATTAGTGTAGCTTTTTCTAATAATATCCAAATGTTGTTGTCTTGCAGGTAAAGTCCACTTCCAGCATTCAGCAGAACTAATTAAACATCTAATAAAAGCTGGCGTTAATTACACTATGCAGGTATGTGCAGCTGTGACATTTCCTATAAACATAATTCAACATTTAACCTCATATTGCTCTTTCTTCCCCGAGAAGGACCCTCCCTACCACAGCGCATCAGTACTACCTCAGTTTGCAGTTAGAACTCCGTTTAATCCCATTTTCCTTACTGTTAGTATGGATGTCAAGAACCATATCTTCTTGTTCTTCTGGGCTCTTTCTCCTCCTCCTCATCTTTCTTTTTTCCACCTGTTTATCCTGCAACGCTACACAAAGTGCTTTAGAGTCCATATGCACTCCTTGTAACATGGAGGTATCACTACTTCAGTCCCTTTTTACCTAAAAAGGAATTGGGTCACCTGAAACTAATTTCCCCTTATTTTCAACATTTAAATTTATCAAAAGGCAGCCAAAAGGCAAGAGCTGTGTTCTCTCCATAGCCATACAGAGGGTGAGGGTGCTGTGAGGGATGTGCTGGGGACAGCAGGACAGGGCGTGCTGCTGACGGACCGACTTGCACGGGACCCACCGTGGAATACATGGATGTTGCTGGACAAGGGTTCTGATTGCATTAAACCTTCTTGAATATCTTAGATTTTGTGGGTTTGGGTCACTCCTCCAAATATCTCTGATGTTACACATTGCAAACCTCAACCTCACTGAATCTTAGGTCAACCTGTCGTTTCTGCTGAAGTGTGTGAGCTCACATCGGGGAAGCAGTGGTAACATGGGGGTTGGCATCACTTAAAAAGGGAAAAGGACTTTATATGTGAAAGCTGAGTGGGGCAGGATCTGTTCCAGCTGGCCCTGTGATTTCAG